TAAATTTTTTTTTTTGTATAAACTGATAATGTTTGATGATACGATGTTAAACTATTGCAATGGCGAGTTTTTTTCTTCTTTTAAATAAAAAAAAAAAATTAAAAAAATGTGCAGGTAACCACGTGTCAAAATATTATTATTATTATTATTATTATTATAATTAACAATTTTTCTTTTTCTTCTTTCGTTTTCGTATCTTCTTTTCCTTCTTCTTATTTTCACGTCCCTGATTATTATCATTATTATTTTCTTTTCAATTTCCTCCCGTTAATTTTATTTAATTATCATTATAATTATCATTATTATTATTATTATATTGTTACATTGTAAAGCAAATCACATGTTATATAACAGGATGTGATGTAAACGATCCTGAATTTTTCATCTGCAAAGCATCTGAATAACAAAAGAAAAAAAATTCAATTTAATTTAATTACTACTTTAATTGTGAATTATTTTTAATAATAATAATAATAATAATAATAATAATAAAATTACTTGTTTTTTAAACATGATTACGGCAAAAATATGGCTTATAATTTTACAAAATTAATTATTATTAAGCGAAACAGGTGAAGTCGAATTTAAACCATTCGAAGAATTTATATTTGTTATTTCTTTAGATGAACCTTCTGCTAATCTTAAATCGAAAACTTTTTGTATAGCTTCTCTAAAGCATAAAAAATTATAGTCTATAACACCTGAAAGAGAAAAATAATAATGAAAGAGCTGTAATGGTGGTAGTAGTAGGAGGAAGTAGTAGAAATATTTACAGATTATTTGTCTTACCCTGCCTGTCGAAATTATCTTCCCTAAGAATGCAAACAAGTGCTAAAAATTTATTAACTTCTCTAAGGTATAATATGTTGCCATTATTTAATTTAATTAGGCTAGAACTGGCTTTGTCGAATGCTGATGTTTCAATTCCTTCTTTGGGTTTATCCGGACCCGTGACGGATAAACCATAAATACAAGATAAATCTAAAACGACGTCTATCATGTCGCAGCAAAGTTCGTAGGATTGCATGTCAACAGGTGCAGAATCCGTTGCTATGTAAATCTTTGATACAACGTCAAAAAGAAAAGCTTTCTCAATTGCTGAATTCTAAATAAAAATAAATAAAAAAAGAAAAGAAAAAAGAAATTTTTTTTTTAGTATTACTCAAACTCTATGTAAAAATACAAAAAAAATAAAAAAAATTTATAAAAATATAAAATTTTTATGTAATAATTTGATATTAACAGATATAAAAATATTTAATAAATTTTCTAATGTTGGCAATTGTGAAACAAGCCTCTGTACAACTTTACTAAAAGCTTCAAATATTGAATGATCATAGATACTCGTAAGGTGACATCTTAAATGAATGTTATCATAGCCTGCATCATTTAAATCATCATTAGCTCTTTGACTGATATCTCTTTGTGCTTCCATTTTATAATCATCCGATAGTCCGTCAACTTTGTGAATGAATACTTCAAACATTATATTCGTATTTACTTTATAAGCTTTTGTTACAGTTAAATGTAATCTATTTAATGCTTCAACATAGTCATCCTAATTAAAAGATTAAAAGTTTTTTTTTTTTTTTTTTAATTATCCATGAATTCATTAATTTATAATAAATTGCAAAAAAGTAATGCTTACTTGAGCATCGATAACGAAAACTAAAGCGCCACATCCTCCGAATATTGTATCGGAATCGAATGTTGAATCGAAAAAATCAATTTGACCTGGAAAATCCCATATTTCAAATCTGACAAATGATGAATTTGAAATATCATCTTTAATTATTTTATTTGTCGATTCTAAAAATAATGTTTCATTCGGAGTCATTTTATGGAAGACAACTTTTTGAATTGATGATTTTCCACTTCTTCGTAATCCCATCAAAAGGATTCTAGGTTTTTGTTCGCCAGGAATAAGTTCATTTTGATCTTCTTCCTGATCGAATGGACTATATCCAAAATCTTTAGGAAATGATTCGACGAATTGATTGTTGTCTTCTTGTTCAAAAGACTGTTAAAAAATATTATAAATGATCATTATGAAGCAAATTCTTTTTTTTTTTTTGTAGAATACAAATAAGTTTAAAGTCAACATTCCAACAAATGTATAAATAATAGATAACAAAATGGTGTTTACACAGAACAAGGAATATTAATAAAAATAAATACGTCACGAATGAGAAAACTCTTAATAATCAATTTTAAAAAAATATTTCTTAATAATAAATAATTTTACATAAAATAAATTAATGATGATAAAATTGAGTATTCTAGGCCAACGCTTTTTATTGATCACACCCTAACGAAAAAACCTTATTTTAATGGTAATAACGTTTAAAAACAAAATGATTCGTACGAATTTTATAAAAAATAATTACCATAATTTAGTTAAAATACACTTAAAATAATTTTATAAAAATTAATCGGTTATTAAAAATGAAAAATTAAAAAAAAAAAAAAAAAAAAAAAAAAAATGTTTAAAAAAATGTAAAATATTTATATCCAGTTTTGCTGATGCTGACACCATAAAAACAACATTTTTTTCGACGTCGGGGATTTTTGTCGTCAAGTTACAAAAAAAATTTTTTTTTTTACTAATGAAAACATTTTCCAAATAACAATAAAATTTCCTATTTGATTTAAATTATTATTTATTTTTTTTTTTTTTTAACTCTTTAAATTTTCTCCTCCTTATAATAAATAAATAAAATAAGGGGGGTAATAATAATAATAATAATTAAATTCGTACGTGTGAGAGAAAGAGAGAGAGAGAAAAACAAACTAAATCAAATTTCTTAATTTTTTTTTTTTTTTAATATTTGATATAAGTTCAGACTAAATTCACGTATTTACAATATTATTCCAACAAAAAAAAAAAAAAAATTCACGTTTTATATTTTTTTACGTGTATGTATGTGTGTGTGTGTGTACGTGTTTGTGTTTTATTTAAAAAAAAAAAAAAATTTCCCAATAAAATCACACACATTTCACTTATTTATGCTCCACTAATAAATATATATATATTATCACAATTTTTTTTTTTTATAAATAAGTAATTATAATTGCACAACACAACATAAATTTTGCTTTCCAGTCAATATTATTATTAATGCTTCTTTCTTTCTTTCATCTTTGGTCTTTTCATTAAAAAAAAAAAAAAAATTCCGACATTTAAATAAATTAATAAAATTTCCCCTCCCCCCCCCTCTTACTCCCTCCATTCTTCTTTTTCTTCTTTTAAATATTGTTTTATATATCATCGGATTTTGTTTTCATTATCATTATTATTATTTATTTTGCAATAAACAATTAATTACAGAAACTAACAAATTTTTTTTTTTTTTTTTGTTATTTTAATAATTTTTTATTTATTTATAATATTTATTTATTTGTTATTTGTTAACGACATATTTGTATTATCATACTTTATTTTTTTTTTTTCCACCATTAATAAAATAACGGAATGGTTAATATATAAATAAAATAAATTAAATAATTGGAATCAGTTTTTTTTTTTTTTTTTTCATTTTTTCTCTTTTTTTTTTTTTTAAAAGTAGTACATAATTTGATGATTAAGCGGTTAACAGTAATAATATAAATAGGATAATGATTGATAATAATGATAATAATAATAATAATAATAATAAAATATTATAAATGATAAGGATTGAGGAGCTTTTTTTTTAAAAAGTTACATTATTATTATTATTATTATTATTATTATTATAGACGAAGCACAATATGCAGTTTTAGGTTATTTCCTTTCCGAGTATTATTAAATTAAATTGCGTTAATTTTTTTATTTTTGTTTGTTTGTTTGTTTGTTTGTTTGTTCCACATTAAAATTTAAAAGCCCTTATATAAAATGGCTTCCATTTTTTTGTTTTCTTAAAATCCTACACGAACGTTTTTTTATATACAATTTACCCTATGTAATTACCCACTCATTCGTAAAAAAGACAACACACCGGACATACCTGTGTGTGCCCCCATATTTTTTTTTATTAATAAAAATAAAAAATGGCAGATAGAAATTCAACGGTCGCCATGTTTTTTTTAAAGGTCATACGACGTCGCCCGTGTTTACGTTTTTTATGAAATTAATATTTTGCTCCGCGCAAAAATCTCTCGTCAGCGGTATGCAATTGAAATAATTACACACTTGACACTCGTATATTGGAACGATGTAAAATAAAACGACTAAAGCACCGAAAACGATACCGGCGGAAAAAAGACAAATCCAAATGAGTGTGACTTTTTTCGTTCTGTCGTAGGGACCGAATGAGACGAACGGGAGAAATGCGTACGAGAGGAGGAAACCGAAAACGAAACCGAAAAAATGAGCGTAATTGTCGATCCACGGGAGGAGACCGAAAAGGAAAAGAACTAAAACGATGCCTAAAAGTTTCATTAAGGCATTTTCGGGTCTCTGAAGCATGGGCCAAACGTTGAGGACTTCGACGACGAGGCACGCTAATAATCCAAACTGAGATCCGGCCGGTCCAACCTTACAAAAAAAAAAAAAAAAAAAATTCAAATTTTATTTGTCGTTCAATTGTTGGTAATCACACACGAGATAGTTAATTTTTTTTTAAAATGAAATTACCTCGGCTCGATATGGCACAAAAATAGCGGATGCTAAATTTCCAGCAACTCCAGACCCGAGGTAAATAATTCCGATTCTTAACGGACCCGTCAATTTTTCTAAATCTCTCATTAATGATAACTGAATAAGCAAAGTCACAGCCATGTGAACAATCCTGAAAGGAATCGTTATCATTATCATTATTATTATCATTATCATTATTTACAATTAACATGAAAAAAAAAAAACTGATTCGATTGAGCGTACCCTGCATGTAAAAATAATGAAGTCCAAAGTCTATAAAACTGATCAGGATGATCGGGAACGTAAAACGGAATCATGCCACAGACATCATCCAAACAAGACACCTGTTATCACGATAATAAATCATTATTATTATTATTATTGTCAAATTTAAATGAATTCGTTAACCGAAAAGAGAGAGAGAGAGAGAGAGAAAGAATA